AATTAGCTCTTTAAACGGGAAAGCTGTTGCTAGGCCTGCCAACATTTGTTGTGAACATTTTTCATCCTTCCTGGGTCAGTAGTGAGATTTGGGTATAAAGCAGGTTCTGTGGTGATTGTTTTGGCACCTGGAATTGCTAAGCAGAGTGCTGAGAATGACTTGTTGGAGTATTTCAGTTTAGTCTGCTGCAGTATCCACTGAACCATACAGATGTTCCTCAGAGGGCTGGGAACCATAGTGCCTAGTGGTTTATTGGGCTCTTCGGTTTAAAACTTGAAATGGATGAGCGTCCTTGAGCTCCCAGGGCAGCACAGTGACTGATGCCCAATCTGGAAGCTTTAGCCAGGCTAAGCTCTGATGGTGACCCACCCATCTCCAGTTGTTGTGGCATCACAGCAGGGTCCTGCTGTAGCCTGTGCTGTGTGTTGCTATGTAACAGGGATGCGACCCATAACAAAGACATGAGATGTGGGTTACATGGGAATGTGAGTTGAGTCCCAGCTCAGTGTCTGCACAGGACAGCTGTTTTCTGGCACGGTAAGACCTGGGCAAACCTTGATTTGTGGCCTGAAAGGGAGTCCTACCAAACCTCATGCTCAGACATGAGCAATCCCTTCTGTTTATACAGATTTCTGGCAGCTTAAGTCAGGGCATCTTGTGTTGGGAATGAAAACCAAGGAAAAAGTCAATCTCTTCTGTTGACTTTGAGGTTATTTATTGAGTATTCAGAGTCTTCGTTACTGGGACAAGCTTTACATTCCATTTTCTCCGGCCGATTTGCGTGCACTGCCTTTTCCGGTGCAGCCAACAGCGCCAAACCCAGGTCACTGCTGCAGCGCCTCTGCTCTGCCCTGACGCTCCCTGGTCCGCGCCGTCTTGTCCCGTGCCGCGGGGGACAGCGCAGGTGTCACCGGCGCTAACGGCCGCTGGCGCCGGGGCGGAAGAACGGGTCCTTGCGCGGAGCAACCGGCCGGTTGTTAGGGCAACGAACCCCCTAGCAGCACCGCTGTCCTTGCGAGGTGTGCACCCGGCGGCAGCTCCCGAAGCGCCGGGAGAGTGTCCCCACCGCCGGTGCGGCCCCGGGGGGGTGGCTGGGAAGGCGCCCAGGACGTGGTGCATAAATCAAAGGGTTAAGCAGTCGTTAGTGCTTAACCAGCGGGGCCGGTTGGTGCCGCGGGGCTTCGGGTGATTTGTATGGTTTGTTTTCCCTCCCTGCAGAGCGGTCCCGTTTCTCGTCCAGACCTTTGTCTGGATGAAAAGAAAAGATGGAGGAGGAGGAGTGGTGGAAAGAGGAGCTGGCAACAGACATCCATCATGCTCTGAGGATGAAGGTTGGATCCCGCTTTGTTCCTCCCCCCCTTCTCGCCCCACTGACCCGTGGAGCTGGGCCCGGAGTGGCCCCGGCTGGGCTCGGGGTCGGTAGCTCCCCTTCGGCCCGTCGCAGAGGGGCAAGTTTGCACTGAGCCCTTCCCTGTGCTCTGCTCGAGACCTTTTCAAAGCCAAACCTGTGAAAGCTGCTACCTAAAAATACCTGTCTGCGACTCCTCTGTAGCGTTAACTTGGTGAAGGCACTGATGACTGATTGCATTAAACCCTAAGAGGATGCTGCTGCTGACCCGTTAAAAATCAGCGTGTTGTGGAACTGGAGAAAGAGCGTTGCTTTTCCAACAGATAAATGCTACAGTTAGAGTTAAGAGGTGGGATCCTGCTCCTTGGCAGACTGCAGAGGAGCTGAATAAATAGCTATAGTGGGGCTTGTAGTGGGTTTTCTGGAAGTTACGTGTATCGTTTACTCGTGGAGTAGAAAACCAGCAAAATGTCCTGCAATAATATTGCAGAATAGCCCGGCGGCTGTTCGCTGAACCTGCACGGGAAACAGGTACCAGTGAGCTGCTCGTTAGCTTCTCACATTCCCTTTGGTAGGGAAGAATAACTGAGAATCGACTTGGCAGGGTGTTAAAAGAAGGGTGTGAGGAAGCTTTGATTATTTATTTGTTTTTGTGTGCCCACTACCTTTTTAATCAACTTTCATTTTTCAGCCTGCTTTTGGATGCATCTGACTCTAAATCGCAAAAACTTGTTCTTTGTATATGGGTACTAACCTAGGCCCGCTGAAATGACATCAATTGTTTGAATTCAAAGAATCCCCAAAAAGGAACTTTGCTTTTTCTGCTCTGAGGAAGTTTTACAACTCCATCTGCTTGGACAATAATAATCCTAATTCTGCTTGTTTTGTAAGGATGACCTTTTGCAGGAAGTACTACATGAGAATCCAGACTGCAAGTATATCAAGCAAAAATAATCACGTCCCTTAAAGCTCCTTTGGTTCACTTCCTGTGATGTATCTTTTTCTTTTGCCAAGGTTTGCTTTTTTGATGTCTGAAGTGTCAGAATTTACTGTAGAGCATTGTGGAATTCCTCAAAAGGATCCTTCAACAAAGTTTTGGGAAGATAAGTAGTTGGGAGGTGCTGAAGTAAGTGTTATGAGCATGGACCAGTTTAGGGACACCTGTAGCCTTTGCATAGAACAGAATAAGCTTCAATAGAGGCATCTCCACTAGAGTATTAGTGTGTTAGTGCATTATTAGTGTATGAGCATGTTAATGGAGTACAGAAGATTCAGGCAAAGGTACCCTCAAGCCTGAATGACTTTTCTGGTTTAAGACACTTGCTGAGGAGTCTTAGTCTGGAACAGGGTGTGCCTCTGGTGAAAATAAACAGAGGGAGTTTAAAATAATTTGTTTTAAATAGCAAATATTTTCTGAAAACAACTGAAGGATCATTAAAAGCACTTCTGGTTTGGGTTTTTGTTCTTTTTTTTTTTTTTTCTCTCAAAAGATAATTTAGGCAGAACCCTTAGTTGTCTACAGAAATATGCCTACCATGAAACAGCCCAGGTTTTATGTTAACAACTGGAGAAAGTGTTATGCCATCCCTCCCATTCCCCCAGCTGGATTTGGCAATTCTTCTTAACCTCACTGAAAGTTGATGTCCTTTGTGACAGATGCTGTGTGCTGTATCTCATGGGTTATGTTCTGTATGAGAGCAGATACTGAATGTGTGGGGTATACCTGACTTCTCATTCAGAGAGGCCTGAAAGATGGTGTGATGCTTTGTGACTTCCCAAAGGCTCTAGCTCAATGTTGAGGAAATTAATAGCCTCCGAATTGTCTGACTAGTAAAATATCTGTGCTGTGATTATTGGCATGTAGTGTTCAGCTTAGCAGGGTTGTATTGTGTTAGTTACTGAGTGTGCTGACCTAGTGGAACAAAATGCCTAAATTTCAGTAGTGCTACATGCATCCTTAGGCTTTAAACAAAGGTTAAATATTCCCCTGGATTAGGCCAGAGTATTAAACCTGACTGAGCTGAGAAGGAAAATAAAAATTGGAGCATACTCTGTATGTTTGTAGTAGAAGAGTCTTATGCTGTGTGTATGTGTTGGTATTTTCTGGTACTTAGCGACTTCTACAATGGCCCTGCATTACTGATAATGGAAAGGTACTAGTTGTTCTGGGTAGCTGACTTCGATGTCAAAAATCAGAGATCTCTCTGTATGGATGTGGGACTACTGCAACATCTGCCCAAACCTCTTCTCTCCACTTTAGTAGCGCAGAATATTCCACAAGAGTGGAAAGCTGAGTGACAAGTCAGTGATGGGGTTTTTGTTTGCTTATTGTTTAAAATTGAGGAAATACTTTGTTGTAGAAGGCAGTCTGAGTGTCCCAGAAATAAGTGATGTCTGTTTGCTATTCCTCCCCCATTTTTGTGCTTATGTTGGGCTGTTTCCTTCCAGGATATGTTCATTTCCTGCAATTAATGACAATTGCTAATCTGCCTGCATTTCCCTTTTATTTATCTCTTGTATAGCTTCTCAGAGCAGAGTCAAATTTTACTGGACTTGTTGCTTGTGAATTTAAAAGGTTAAAAATTGTAACTTGATTGTTTTAAAGGCAGTCCAAATTACTGTCTGCAGTTGCTTTCAGCCTGGTGAGGAGAACTGATCCTGTTTCTGCTGGAAGCAAACAGTCCTTTGCCATTAAGTGGTAGAAATGTATGAGTGATTTCCTCTAGTTGAATGCTCCTCCACAGCTATCTCCTAGCTCCTCTCGATTTAAAAATCTTAATGAGGAAATGCTGTTTACCACCACTATTTGTTTCATTCTATTCTGACATGCAACATTTCCCTTGCCTTTGTCTTGAGTGTCATTTTGGAGTGAGTCTCTGGAGTGTAATCCATACAGGGTTTCTTGTGAGGGGCCCTTTTCTTCACTGCTCTTAAGTAATGTCAGCATAAGTGCATTTCTTGCAGTTTTAGATCATCTTGTTAGTGCAGGATCCTGTTATTAACTTCGTTCAGTAAAAACACCACCTCTTCCCCTTCTCCCTGCATCCAGTGTATGTCTCTGTACTTCACGGAGCTGTGCCAAAGCATCTGGTTTACTTAACTTGCAGATAGTGTGAAGGTCTTGATGTAACAAAGTACTGTGTTATCTTTTAGCCTCTGAACTCCACTCTTTTCCTTGCTATTTTAAAAAATGGTCACCCCTTCAATGCTTAATTAAATGGTAAATTTGACAGTCAGATCTGTCTGGCACAGCCTGAACTGCAGATTGGTGCAGACTAGCCAGTGACACTCTGAGCAGAGGGAAGGTATGAGGGTGCTGTGTAAGTGTTGCTTCTGGGTTTTCTTTTTAAACACACTAACTCTTAATCCTTTTGATCAATTAGTTAAACTGCAGTCAGCTAAGCATGGGAGTACTCACCAGCAAGTTTCCTGTGTGTGATTTTGTTACCAGAAGGCACAGTGCTGCAGTCTGGATTGGCTCTGTGGAGGGGAGAGAGAACAGCATGATGTTAGTAGCAGAATTAAATTGGTTGCATGCTACCTACCTACTGCAAAAAAGCCTGCTGAGTGCTTTCAGTTTTCAAGCTCCTGCATAAAAAAGTAGTATGAATTTTTCTTTGCATGGCACCTTCTTGCCTGCATAAATAATACATTAGAGGAGGTACCTTTTAATGATTTCTTATGTGTAGTGCAATAATTGTATCCAAGAGGCCAGTTTGGCACCTTTCTCCCACAGCTGGAAAGCTGTTTGCTTAGAACACAAAACAGGAAGGAGTTTGTCTCTTTCAAAGAACAACTGTTAATAGCCTGCTAGATAAGCTTTCCCTTTATTTTTCATCTACAGGAATTTCTTTCTCCTGTTCTAATGCCAACAATTTTGCAGTATCTGTTATTCTTGCTATAGGAATTCTTAAGAATCTGGTGGAGGTCAGTGGCTTTAGCCTGTTGCAGGTATTCCCAAGCAACTTCATTCCCACCCTTAAGCTACCCTTTGCATAGTGGCTACAAATCTGCGTGTAAAAACACTTGCAGGTGAAGACCTAGCATAGGTAGACCATAAACTTATGTAATTCTCCCTTGGAAATGAAAATTCATATATTGTATTCTGAAATACAGTCTCAGTTCAATAATTAGCTCTTTAAATGCTGAAAGAGGTTACTACAGAAAACACTGGAACTTGCTATAATGATGAAAGCCTAATCATTCTCCCATTTTGTTCATTGTTGTTGCTTGCTAGAGCCACGTACCATGGGAAATTCTTAAATATTAGATGTGATTTATTCTAAAGGCCTATGCCTTTTTTTTTTTTTTTTTTGATACCAGCTTGGACTGCTGAGGAGGGGGCAGTATCAGGGAAACATATCCTGCTCTTCTTGCTTAATGAAACTCTTAAAACTCTATGTAACAACCTAATTGGGGTGATCAAAGTTAAAAAGGAATCCTTTAAGATGGCCAAGAAGTTTGGTGTTCTGTAGAAAGCAACAGCAAGTTGTTCCTGGGTCAAACTACAGTGTTTGACCACATGATTAATGCTGGTGAGGAAAGTGTGTGGATGACCAAAGTATTGGAAGTTAACTGACTGTCAAAACATGCAGTAATCCAGCCCTGATTTCTGTGTCAATCAGTGTTGTAGCTGCTGAGCATTTGCCATAGCAGGTGGTGGGTGTTGGTTTGGGATTTCAGACACTGAAATGCTTTCTGTTTCAGTACCTTTCTTCCTATTTTTTTTCCCTATAGGAACTTAAATTGCCTGTGTACAAGGCTCGTTCACCACAGATTGGGATGCGCCGATGCCTTGTTGATATCTTGATTCTGCTCAGCAACCACTGCAAGCTCTGCCCCACAGCCCGGCATCTTGCTATCTATCTACTGGACCTCTTCATGGATCGCTATGATATGACTGCCAAGCAACTGTACATAATTTCATTTGGCTGTCTTCTCCTAGCAAGTAAGTTGGCTGCTGTCTATTAAGGCTTTTTCTTTTGAGCAGATGGTTGTTTTCCTCATATATCATGTTGTGTTTTCTCTGTGTTAACAGCTTTCACCTACTTAGGGTAAAGCCTAATGAAGTCCAAATCAAGGCATAAAGCAGTCTGTTAATAAGCTTGGCTCAACTGCATAACTTGCACTACACATCTATATTCAAGGATTTTAAAAGAAGCAAAAAAGCTGTCAAGACTTTCATTATGTAAATACCTGAAGTAAAATGCAACTTTAGGCCATCTCTATGCAACTGTGAAGGAAAAGGAAGTTCACAAACTGCCCTATGATAATACTAGAGGGAAATGTTTTGTAACTTCTGCCTGTTGGGGCTGAGGGGGAAGGCAGTTTGCTTAAAAGAGCAAGCCTATGTCTAGTGAACTAAAGAGTGTGAGAGTCTTTCCAAAACTAAGATCAGAGCAATGCAGTAGCATGTATACATCTTGAGTTGGAATAAAATGATCCCTTACAGGAAGGAAAAAGATCAACTACTGTAAAGGCAGCTTTCCTACCACATGTAGAAACAAAACATTGACAGTTGAACCAAAGCAGCTTTGCACAAAATTAACTCCTCATTAACTTGTATAGGTAAGGTTTAAAATGCTAGTAGGGCTCAGCCTGGAGACTTTTGGGAGCATATGAAGCTCTGTTGTTACTGCCTGGGCCATCCTAATGTTCTTTTTTGGTATGTGTACTTCAAAGTGATGCAAGTCAAGAAAAGCCACTACAATAAGTGGGAATTCCTATGTTTAATTTATTAGTTTCAAAATTAATGTTTTGGAGTAAAAGATTCCGAGTAAGTCAGAAGTACCAGCATGAAGTCACCTTAAAAGTTCTCACTGTAGCAAAGAAGAGTAAAACTAGTTCCTTGCCTGTTAGTGCAAGTGCAGTAATTAGACCTTCCTGCAAAACATTACTGTAGGAAGTGGCTGGTTTTTCAGCAGAGGATTGCAGCAGCAGTGCTCTGCAGGCTGTGTTGCAAGAGACTTGTACTCCTGAAAAAAAATACACCTTTACCGTAGAGAGGAAAAACAACCCAATAATAGTTGTGGTGTATACCTAATATCAAAATTACTGTTTAATACAGACTGTCTTTGAGTAATTGTTATAAACACGTTTTGAGAAACTCTGGGTTTTCTTCCTGATTGCTTCCTTAGAAAAAACCAGGTCGTTAAGGTTAGTGTGCAGGCCACAAGCAAGATGAGGTGTAGTTAGAGGCAAGATTACTTATTCCCACTAATGACTGTAAGTGTGGGTTGTTTTGGGGGTGGGAGGGGCATAATAGAGAAGCTTTTAGACACAACTTTTGAAATAGAAGCAGCAAACTTCTAAATGCAAGTTGAAGACTATTCCTGAGTTTATAAATTGTTGTAAACTTGTGTTTTGCTTTGAAGCTTGTTGCTTCTATTCTGGATCTAAAGGATTTCAAACTCTCATCTCTTTTCCTTTACCTCCGGACATTGTCATCACCAATGACAGTGGTGATGACAACACACATCACATGGTGATGACAACACAACCACAACCACACATCATCATGTATGTTTTTGATAGCATACAACAGCAGTGCTGTCATGATGGAGAATGTAGCATTCTGCTAGATGTCCTTTAGTTAGCTGGGCTAATTTCTAACTTTTCCCATTTTGACTGGGTCAGCAGTTTCCCCAGCCAGGGAAACTGGATGATGATAGTGTTTCCCACTTTGGTAATAACTGGGAGGGACTGAGAAGTTAATACTGCTGCAAACAAATTGCACTAGCAGCCTAGTAATGTTCAGCCTGGACTTGCTGCAGTTGAGAGGAATATGGGTGTGTGTCCCTCATAGCATTCAGTTGCCCACTAGCCAGAAGAGGTATGTTTCTTTGCAATGCATGCACACCGTAATAATAGAAGGTTTCTGGCAATTCCTTCCAGATAGTTTAGCTCCTCAGAACAGCTATAAAAGCTTTGAAGTATACTAATGTCATCAGTGGTTGTTATTTCCTCTCAATCAGTTCTGAAAAGGAATGGTAAAAATTGTTCACAGTGAACTAAGTGCTACTGGGGGAGGGAAGGAAAAGTTGCTGGAAAAATTGATCTCACAGTTACTTTAAGAATGTATTTAGAATAGCCCATCTCTTTCACTTGCACTAAGGGAAACTTTATGATCTAAATCAGAACCTTAAACTGAACATGTTTCTGTAACACAGAAAGACCTGCTCATGTGGATGTTTTGGCTAGGTACATGACTAGAGACAGAGAACCCCCTTTGGAGGTCCACTGTGGTAATATAAGAGGTTGTAGGTTCCTGCTGCTGCAAGATCATTAGTGAAGTCCAGTGATTTTAATTGTTCAAAAGGAGAGATGTTGGCTTTTGGTGAAAAGTAATGCTGGACAGCTGGGACTGGTGGTCTTCAGCCAAGCCAGCTGGATCTAGAGCCAGGATAGTTACCAATACACCTGCACAGAAGCCAGGACACAGTCTCTGCATCAGGCTATGGATAAATGCTCCTGTAAGTGACTAAAAATGTTACTACTTTCCTTTTCCCCCAGAGCACCCCAGTGCTTTTAGTAAGCTCACATTTATTTTTTCCAGACAAAATCAGCTGTCTGATGCTGTCAATAGGTGGATTGATTTAGGTTAACTAACACTTTGAAGGGAATTGAGAAACTTTCAGTTTGCCTCACCTGGCAGCTGAGAAGGCAGATCCTTGTAGAGGGGCACTGCTGAACAGCAGCAGGTTGTAAAGTTCTAAACTGCATCTTCACTGGGCAATTTATTACAGAAAATGATAGCAATATTAAGGTGCTCTAGCCCTAAGTGTCCTGTTAGAACAAGGGATTGTGTAAAGATAGCCCATCTGCTTTAGTGCTGCTTGACTCAAGTTGCCTGCCCAAAGCTGTGCAAACCAGCTGCCCCAGAGTAGATGAGATGCACTGACACAATCCATTCAGATGGCCCAGCTGCAGGAGCAGTAAACTGGGGAGAAAGCAAGCACCTGGACAGTAAGTCTTAAACAACTGCAGTTGTTTTTTCTGTGAGTTTTCTAACTGTACTATACAGGGACTGTACTGCTATGGTGTATCAGTACAGTTAAAGCAGTGCAGCTTTTGCTTGTTGCTGTAAAATCCTAGCTGGGTATTAAAACCTGTTCCTTTCTTTCCTGAAGAGCTAACCCCCTTCAGCAGCAGGTGCTTCTGTACCTGATAAAAGCAACATCTCAGCATTCATTGGCACTGAATGTTCCAGCAATTTTAGTTCTTATGGCCCCTCTTCCTCAAGAGGGTTCTGCTGCTATGGAGACATGAAAACAGTTTTTAAATGTATTGATTTAAGCAAAGGTGGTTTACTGCTCAGCACATCCAGTGCTGCATTGCCTCACAGAGTACTTGGGTATTTGTTATGGTTTTCCTGGCTTTATTTTGCCCAGTTCCTTAGTCTGACAGTGGATTCTCAGCAGCTGAATTAACTCAGGACAGTAAAAGCAGTTAGAGCAAGAAAAGATGTCTGTGCTAAATGGGCTCAGTTTAGGGCATGGGTAATCCTTTATTGCCTAATTTCTCATTGACTGTGTGGAGCTCTTGTCAGACATCAGGCAGCTTTCCTGTTTGACTGTGTTTTCTCATCCATTCTCTATTGTCCCATTTTCTTAAGTAGGTAACTGTTGTGACGAAGACAGCTGAGCTACTTCTTTTCAATAAAAGATAATAGTGGGTGTCAGTACAGAATATAGATGAGTGTAAAACTTAGTCTGTACTCTTAATTATTGTTTCTAGTTCCCTGTAGACATAACATGTGCAGAATATTTTCTTGAGTAATTAAACTTTACTGTAGTAAGGCATTAAAAACTCGGGTGCTTTGACCTAAGTGGTATACTAGGTACTGTAGATGAAAGACACTGCAGAAAGAAGGAATTAAGCAGGCTGTCTGTAAAATAGCCTGTCTCTTCCTTGCCTTGTTTAGAGGACATTTAGAAGCTGTGTTTGTGTCTGACTGCAGCCTGGGAGAGAGTCTCAGAAGCTTGTTTCACCACCTTCTGTAACAGTGTAGGAATAAAGAAAAGTAGGCCTTTAGCTGTGCAAGCAGCCACAGGTCTTTTCTTTATGCTGGGCTAGATGGGTTTGACTGGTTTATCCTTCTTTGGGATTGATTTTAATTGTGTATGGGACAAAACGTACTTACACTTTAGTGACTCTTTAAATTGGCAGTCTTTTTTGTTCCTCGGTCTTCTCAAGGACTCTGAAAATGTAATAAAACAAATTGCCTGCATCTCCTGCCTTTGTTTGCTGCCCATGTAAAAACCCAGGAAGATCATCTACCCAAGCAGTAGCAATCAGTCTCAACAGCAGCTGTGTAGCAAGATTTACATTGTGACTGCTCCATCCACTTGCCTGCTGTAGTGGATGAAGCAGTTCTTCAGCGTACATTTGATAGGAGTGATGCTTCTCTAAGACCTTTATTTTTTCCTAGAGGAAAACTGGCATGGATTGATAGGCTGTTCACTTTTGAACAAGGAACTGTCTGGTAGATAGGTCTTTTTCAGCTTGGTAAAGTAACTGTGAATTTTAACAAGATTTTATTGTTTTAAGTTTGTAGCAAAATAACACTGTTGCTGTATTTCTCATAGCAGATTTGATTCCCAGGACTAGATCTATTGGATGCTTTTGATGAAAGGAGGATGCTTTTTATGAAATAGAGTGAGATTTTGGTTTTCTATACAACATAACTGCACTTTGTACTTACTGCTGAAAATTGAGTCATTCTAGAGGCTACTGCTGTTTCAGTAGGCTGGTAAATACAGTTTAGAGGAAGGAGCTTTGCTCAGCTGTCCTGACTGAAAATGTATGCTCTCTCTTAACCCTGTAAGAATTATTTATGTTAATCACTTGGGTACAGTGTACTTCTCCTCGCCATTCAGTGACCTTAGTTAATGAGGCCCCCCAAGATAGGAAGGAACAAAGAGAAAATGTGAAGCAGCAAGGGCAAAGGTGGTGTTGCCGAGGGGTTTTTAATGTCTTCCTTTTTGCAGCATGTGTGTTTAGCTTTTATACCCAAAGGAGCTTTCTTCTCTCCATATCAGATCTTCCTTTGCTGTATTTTCCCCATGCTGCTTGCTTTCTGCACACTTGATTGAATACCCCTTAGCAGATTGCTTCCAGTTATTGTCAGCAAAACTATCTGTAATCCTAATGTGTTTCTAATCCTGGGTTTGTCATTGATAGTATGCTGACAATTAAAAACAAAACTGTAAAAAGGATATTATGAATACACTGGCTAGCCTGTTGCCTTTCTTGTGTCACTGTACTTCCTCACCATTCTTTAAAAAGCACCTTTTATCATGAGACTTTCTGGGTTTGGGAGTGTTCTTTATTGGCTTTTGGACACTCAATCATAATGATAAATCTTACCTGAAAACCATCTCTTCTGCCAGGTAAATTTGAAGATAGAAGACATAAAGGTCCAAAGTTGGAGCTCTTAAATAAGCTAGCATGCATGTGCAACGTGGATGTGGTATTAAGCAAGCAAGATTTGTTTACAATAGAAGGACTGCTTTTGGAAAACTTTGGCTGGAACCTCTGTATGCCAACACCAGCACACTACATTGACTACTACCTCTATGTATCTTTTGGAGCTAATGACCTTCACTATGGCTGGCCAATCACCTCACCAAACAAAGTCAGAGAGCTTCTGGAGACATACGCCTATTATTTCCTTGATTTGTCAGTGCAAGGTAGGAGGAGCAGTTTTGTGCTAGAATGATCTTCCATTAGGCAAAAGGCAAAAGTCTGAAAGAGATAAAGGCTTTAAAACTTGGCATAATGTGGATTGCACAAAGTTCTCTGTGCAAAATGGTTTCTCTTTGCAGTTATTTCAGATGGCAGATGGAAGGTGACCCTTGTTTGTGTGCAAGTGTCTTGTCCCTTCAGAAATCTCTAGGTGGGATCAAGTTTTTCCTTCAGCTTAGAACACTAATTGATGAGGCGCTCAGAAATGGGGTCTAAGTTTAGGTCTGCCACGGACTGTGAACTACTGTCAGTTGCAGATACGATAGGCAGTTCAATATATGAATCTTTTGAAGTGATTTTTTTTACAGGGTCCTGTGCTGCAAGACATGTTTAGAATAATGGGACTTTTCATGATTTTATTTGTAGCATTGCTTCCAGTATCTGCCCATGTGAAAGGCAGTGAACTAAAGCATCCTCATAGGCTGGGTTCAACACCAATATTAATATGTGTGTAACAGCCAGTACCAAACTGTGGCTCAGCTGAGACCAGTCTACAAATTTCAGCAAAGTCTATTTTGTGGCTTTTTATGAAAGAAAAACTTACTGAAGCCTTGATAATAGTTATGAACAGGTAGTACCGAGATCTTCAGGAAAGCTTCACCCAGTTTTGAGAAGCTTTTTCTGGTCATGAGTTAATACTTTGAGATGTGTGGAACAAAGTTGTGGATGTAATTTTGTCCTTTTTTGTTATGTATACTGGGTTCACTGCACTGATGAGCAGGAATATGATTCTTGGTTTTGGTTTTTCTTTTGTAGATCCCACATTCCTCCATTTTCGTCCATCTCTGATTGCTGCAGCTAGTGTGTGTGCCTCACGTATCTGTCTGCAGGTTTCTCCTATCTGGACAATGCAGCTTGAATGGCTAACATGCTATTCCTTGGAACATCTTGCCCAGTGCATTGAGATGATGCTCATGTAAGAAAGAAACAAAACCTGTTTGTGCTTTTAAGAAGATGTTAAGATGCTTTTTTATTTTCTTTAAGTAATTGTTTGGTTAGAACTAAGATAGTACAATATTACATTAGTAGTCTCCATCTTCAGTTTGGGGAGAGGAATAAAAGATTAAAAATCAGGTCACTTTTACTAAATATTGTATTTAACAATAATTACAATGCAGAACAGCGTGCACAATTTAATGTTTATTATGTTCTACTGGTTGTCTGTGTGGTTGGATGGAAGGTTTTAGAGATGGTTGATGAAAGATTTTTTTTTTCCCCTTTGTTTTCTTATTGTACCCACAATACACCTGCTCCAGAGACACACCAGTGTATCTCCAACAGTACAGTAGGAGACATTTCAGAACTGTTCTTTGTTTCCTTTCTAGTAAAGGACACGACTGTGATGTATCAATACTGGTCTGCTATGTGAGCACATACAGTCTTAATCATTCTATTTAGCTTTTAAAGTTTTCTATTTAGGTTGGGAGTGATGGTGGACCTTCTGAATTCCTACTAAAAGCAGGGCCAAGTGAAGATAAATCAGACAGCTTGGGATGTTATCTAGTCAAATTTTGGCTGTTTCCAAGGACAGACTTCCTAACCTCTCAGGGCAACTTGTTGCAGTGCATCATCATTCTCGTGATAGCCACAACTGTGAACACGTTTCTTTCTACTGTCCAACAGGAATTTGCATTATCCCTTTACTCTGCAAATACTATTTCAAATTTCTGTGTTGTGGACTTAAGATTCCAAGACAGCCAGTCCATCAGTAAAAACATACTTGTGATGCAAAATAATCTATAGGTCTGTTGTGTGTGAAGATTGCAGCAGGATAATTAGAAATTAATTGTGAAAGCAACTAGGGTTACAATATACGCCTAGGGCAAAAAAGCTGATAGTGTAGCTGGGGAACACTTCAGGATATATGCAGCCTCTGTGAAGTTCTTTTTAATCAATCCTACTTATAATTTCTTTCAGGTATTATGAGAATGACGTCAATGAAACCAGTAACGTAAAAACACAAGAAACAATTCAATATCAAGAACAAGAAGCAGTGGGAAATATGAGTTGCCAAGCTACTACTCAAGTTCTCTTCCAGCAATCTAGTTACCACCCTTTAACACAGCATTCAGCTGCATTTTCCCAGTTCCAGTGGCCAGTACAAGATCTGTGCTCAGCTTATCGTGAATCTTTACAGCAGGCCCACAGGCCCAGTGGTCCGCTTGCTGGAAGCACTGACAGCTCCCTGCGCTCCTACACAGCTCCTCAGGACAGCCTTCAGCCATCTGCCCAGGCTCTGCCCATCCGGGCACCCTTTGCCACGCAGGTGGCATTTGGAACAGAGAGCAGACCCTGCATTTCCAGGGTTTGTGGCAGTAGTTACTTCAGTGATTTTACTGGTAAATACTGACAGGAGAAAAAGGTGGTATGAATAAAAGCTGAAGAAGAGACTCTGTGATACAAGATGTGTACCTGAATTAAAAATAAAAATATACCGGAATTGGCATCAGTTAAATGTGAACTTCGTTTATGCAGAAATCTATATGTAGAACACTCTATTTCCTTTCATCAGGAGTGGTAGTTCAGGACTAAGACTTTAGATTAAAAGGAAAACAAGAAAAACTGGCCAGAAGACTATCAAACACATTTGTGACTTGAAATTCCCCTGGAATCTGAACGTGGTGCTGCTGAACAGAACATCACTCTGCCTTCAAGTATTTTAGAAATAAAAACAAAACTTTAAATCACCTCTTTCATCTTTAACATGCTGCTGCTTTTGAGACTGGAGACTATTGTTAATAAAACTGTTCATGAGCTTTATCAGGGATTTAATGTTACTTGAAGAAATCCTCCTGGAAAACCTCTTAAAAGGTTCACGGCCTTCAGTTATTTTATCTTTTGGGCTCAGTGACTTCTGGCAGTAGCTCTGGCTCAGGACAGAAGAACTGGTGTTAATGGGGCAAAGGTGGGAAACTGGTTAACTCTGCTGGGAAATGAGAGTTTGACTGCAGTGCTCGCTCAAGTTTTTTCAATACCATCTTTGCATCCTCTTGGCAAATGTAGCTGGTAAATTGAAGATCCTGTTGCAGCTTTGCAATGAGACACACACCTACTGTCATGTATCCAGAGGGTTCTTTCTCAACTGAAACCAGGGCTCATAGTTCAGAAAACTGTAGAGGCTTTTATGGGAATGTATATTTTTACAAGAAATTGACTTCTGCAAATGTGAACCTTTAGTTTTGATATATGCAACCTACTGTAAGTTTGTTTGAAGGCAGTACCCTTGGGTTGCCTTCTCTCTGAAGGTTCTCGGGACAGCAATACTTGAATTGTGCAATATGCTTTTACTGACTTGGGACATTTTTTACAACTTGTGTCTCATAGTGCTGTTTTAAATTATATTTTTAGAGACTTGTTTTTAATGGTGTTTTAAGGTGGAAGGGGAAAATGAGCCTGCATGCTAATGTCTGTTTGTGTACTATGTTCCAAGAACACAACTTCTGGTATCAAGCTAATAATATCTTCCATTCAGCAGGCTAGAGCAATCTTCTGGGTTTATTTTTAAATGCAAACTATAACTGAGAAGGCAGTACTCGTCAGAAATTAGTCTAGAACTTTAAGAGAACTTTGTCTTTTATTCTGTTATCTTTATATTTATATTAAACTTTATTTTCAGAAGACTTCAGTGTGTGCTTTTGTCTTTCAAGAGTCGTAAAGAACAACATACACATGGCAGTACTGTTGGGGGGAGGTTTTTATCACCCTTATAATTTTTGAATCATGTGCAGTGTTCTACGTTGGACTGCGATTGTGCTTAATGGTGAAAATACTTGCTAAGTTCCCAGTGAAAGTTCCTAATAAACAAGCCACACAGCTAAAGTACCCTCTTCTTTCTGCGGTTTCTCCTTAGCTTTTAACAGCTAGTAAAAAGTACATGTCTATACCTTCAAAATAACTGATCTGATCACTCCTAATGTTTTATAGAAGAGTGGTAAGACCTGTGATGGAAAGACCTTGCTAAAAAATAAATTGTGAAAGACAGATCAGGAATTTGGTCACTGCACAAGAAAGGCAGAAAATGTGCAGAGACAAGGTGGAGATATAAAAGCAGATCTGATGGCCAGTGTGTTTTGAAGGTGCATCTTACCTGAGCAGATTGACAGACTGAATAGGAGAACACAGCTGTACGCTCAGTCTTTCTCCTGGTGACTCTATATTCTAAGCAGGAATTGTGCATTGACTTCCATGTTCCATATGTGCTGTTGTATCACGGGTGGAGATGGGGCAGATTAAGTCCAAGAGCAGCCTCTCCAAGGGAGGAGATTTATTAGAATTTGAGTTGGCTTAATACTGCTGCCTGACAGCTCTCTCCACAATGCCTTGAATGTTGGTGGCAATTCCACACATTTAATTTCTAGGTAAATACTTCTTCATGTCTCTGGTTATTTGTTTGTTTTTCTCTTCTGTCAAAACACCTCATCAAGAAGAGCAAATATAAAAGTGCAGCCAACATAAAGCTGCTTTTCTGAAGCCTTTTTACCACAGCTCTGTCTGGAGTGAGCTGCAGAGGTGCATGCAAAGCTGAGTTAATTTTTAAACAAATGATTTTTTCTTAAATTGTGCTTGTGCTGTTTGATGGTGTCAGCTGCAGCATAGTCATAGATCAGAATTTTTACAAGTTGATTAGCTTGTATTTCCCTGGCAGCCTTGGAAGCAAGAAAAGCTCCTGCAGAAGCAAATGCAGCAAGACTTGGCTCAGAATACAAAATGGGCTATGGCACTAGTTACTCACAGGGGAGGATGTTGCACAGGTAACCATAACCAAACAAAAGAGAAAGCTGACATTAAAATAAAAACCCCAAATATATTAGTGAGCCCTGACAACAGCTGCAGCAGGGATACAGATGGAAGAAGTCTGCTAATGCTGATCAGGCACCAAAGGTTAAAATGAACTTTAAAAATCTTGTAGCTGCAACATGCTGCTTTTTTAAGCAGGAAACTACTACCCTCTCCCTATTTGTAAGAAAGTCATAACCTGGCGTTTGCAAAGTTGTCAAAGCCACTCTTTGATCCTTTTGTTTTAGCGAGTTTTACACACTGTAGTGAACAATTTAAAGTGTATATAATGCTTTTTCATCAGTGTAATCAACTCACCAGTAACGTGTGCAGGTGCTGCTGAACAAAATTTAGCTTAGTACAATTTGTTTTACTGAGAAGTCTAGATACTAGCAAATGTGGGCCAAACTGGTGGATTCTTGGTGACAATTCTGTGCACATTCCACCCCACAAGGGGTTTATTTTGCTCTCTGCTGCCATTTCAAGACAAGCCAGCTGAAAAGGCAGCATTGCTTCTTTTTTCCCCATGTGAAAGCATCCCTTAAGTGCTTTATAAAGAGCCTAGATAAGAATCCCACCCTTCCTTTTAGAGCATAATGAGGAGTGAGTTGATCACATGAAGAATGTGAGAACAAAATGTGCCAGTTGTGTAAGCTAAACCTAGTTGTCTCTAGACGCAGTTAAACTAACTGATAAATAGAAGGCTAGGATAATTGCTATGCTTGTGGTGTTAATGAACCCATTAAGCTGGTGCTTCAAAGGCTGCCAGAGGTTATGAAGAACAATGGAGAAGTAAACGACCCTCAAAGACCACCATCACTTTTTTGTATACATGCGGGAAACTTCCTGGAAAATGATGTAATTCATGCATAGCCTCATGAATATGTATGATATGCCCAGTGACTATAAAGGATGGCCTGAGTAGCAATACAGGGACACACGTTAGGAGGAGCTATCCCCCAAGTTTCCAGGCGCCGCAATAAAGAATACCTGCTTGTCAACTTGAAACTCAGTTGGCAAGTTTTTTCCCGGAGTTTTCCCTGAATCAGTTGTCACGTACCCAATCAGAAAATGAATTTTGTGTACACAAGACACATGCCCTGGCTAGTTACTGGTTAGCTTGAGAAGGCAAACAGCTCAGTGGATCCAGAAGGCAAGACAGGCTGGAAAAAAAAGAGCATGAAAAGGGAAAATCTTTGTGGACCCAGTATTGGCCAGAAGTGATTTTGAACAGTGAATCCAAAAACTTTTATATTTAATTCCTGCTGTGTCAAGAAAACAGGTTTGCATATGCACTTTATGTAAATAACAGGACTGAATTGAGAAAATAGGACTCCACATTTTTTCATGAGAGCCTGTCTGTAAAACCTTAAATATCTTCTAGGAATTCAGGTCAGGAGGGCATACTGATGACAATGAGAAAACCATGATAGCAGTATGAAAGCATATCCTTTAATGAGTGACACTGACTTTCTCTTGTTTTCAAGCTCCTAAATTTCTGCCCTCCAACCAGTAATAGGACAAAAGACGTTTAACAGGTATTGCATTTTTATGTACACTTTGGGCAGAGTACTGTCTTATTCTCTAGACAGAAGCTGAATAGAACTTCTATTAAGTAGGTGGAAGACAACATTTGAAAATGCTACGTATGCATCATATCCTGAAATACTTAGACTGGACAGCATCACCCAGTGCTTTGTTGCATCTTCTGATCTTTGCATTCTGATTTTCTGAGTATTTGTCAGATCTTTAGGCATGGAGTAAGATTAATTTTGAGGATAACATTATTCTGAAAACCAATTCTTCATGTTTGCAAATACAATGAAAGAGAGCGGGAAAGACAGTCCATATTTATTTGTATTGTTGAATGTTTTCTGGTGCACTGGAAGAGACTGTCTTCACTGTCTTAAGCAATCCTTTTGCTGACCCTTTTGTAGACTGTCCCAGAAGCAGTAGAAATCTGGAAAAAAGAACAAATTAAAATTGGGTTGAACACTGCAATTATAGCTTCAGTGTCACAAATGAAAAGACCTGCTGACTGGCTCACAGAACCTATCTTTTACTGAAGCAACATTTACCCTTTGGTAGAAGACATTAAAAAATAAGCTTAATGTCATTGCCAAGTTTGAAATGTACAGTGCAAAAATATTCCTACACAAAAAGTTTTAGAGGTTTAGGGATAACTTAAATGTATCCTGGTTTCACCAACTCCAAGTTATCAATAAAATGGCAACATAACTTTGGAAGATCACTGCAACTATAATACTTGCAGTAAAACTTGTAAACAGGATTGTCAAACATCATGTTTTCTGATTCTCAAAAATTTTCCTGAACTGACTTATGTCTGTGCCAGTCATATCTGAGTGCATCTTCAACAGAGACTAACCGCAAGTAAGTTACTCTGTGAATTAAAAAAGGATGCTCATCCTCCCTGAAAGGAATCACTTACTGCTTTTTGAGAATAATTATCTTATTTGTGTAAAACTCAGAATTTTAAGCCTGCTACTTTTGAGGGGGGTTTTGTTAGTTGGTTTATTTTTTATAAGCTAACCTGGATATTTGAGAACTCACCTCCACAAGCTTTCCTCCAGAAATCTCTGAAGTGTGGCGATAGTTGGGAAAATCAGCTACTAATTTCCCATCTTCCATTTTTACAGTTGCCTGTAATAGAGAAAGGTTTAATGTTCCCTGGGGTTACTGGCATTTTTATTATCAGATACACAGTAAACAGCTGTATACTTGGTGCTTAAAGTTTTTACCTTTAAAAATATTGTCATGTATTACACATGCAGATTCATGAACAAGACTAAAATGTTGGTGCTTTAGTTCTTCTATGTTCACAATTTAAACAGAAAAATGTTAATCTAACAGTCCATCTAACAAGTAGCACTCTCAGATACCAATAACTGGCTTGCAAGCAGCACAAAAGTCACTGTGCACAAATTATGTGGATCTTTACCCTAGATCCTGTACCAGTTCCTCTTGAAAGCTTCTTCTGTATGGAAGAAGTACGTCAGGATGCTAGTATGAAGGTCAGAAATGCTACAGCAGCCCAGCTGACCACCAAAACTAGATACGTAATTCCATCACAAAATCAGTCATGTCTGTATAACTTGTCAGTCTTATCTGTGCTTTTAGCAATAAAGACAGATAAGGCAGTTACACTTCAAGGGGAAAAAAAAATAATTTGCAAAATGAAGAGTGGATATATTCTACCACATACCAGAAAACCATTTTACTAATTTATGTGTTGTTTAGCAACACTGTACAAAAAGGCAGTGGTTTCTCTGCTGAGTCATTTACTCTGCCTCCATGTTTGATTACTTAATAGGCTTGGATTGCTGAAGTGCCAGAGCCACAAAGATTGGAATTTGGAGTATTTCATAATTGTTAACTTTGCAATAGTTTGACCAAGTAGAATTGTGTCTTATTCTGTCAGGTTTCACAAAGACTTCTCAAAGCCAAAGACATAGTTTTTTACCTTTCATAATCAGAAAGGTGTGACTAAAAAAGTTCTGGAAATCATGCAATGCTATTGCTATGCTCTGTTTGCCACAGCTCTCTGATGCAACTACTGGTTTTCCTGTCTCTCCGATATGTATAAAGCATTTATCCAGTTATCTATTGCAGGGTTTTGGACACTTGACAGATGCAGAGGTTAGCTATCCCAAACTGTCTTATCCCTTTAAGTAGTTGAGAAATTCATAATGTAAGTAAAGCAACAATTTCACAGCAGGTTTTGTATCCAGATTTTGTCTGTGACACGAGCAGATCAGTACTGTGTAATCTTCCATCTTGCAAGAGGCTGCTTAACTTGCAGGCTGCTCTGTACTTCCAATACGAAGGAGGATACAGAAATATTTTTTTCCCCACCTTTACTTTACACAGCCTTTAGTTTAAGGCTCAGACACAGGTGACTTCAAAAGGTGAGCACTGCAGACAGGCATGGGCAAAGCTAGAGACCACAGCACTCCCCTCAGCATACTGCAGCTGCTAGACCATGACACAGCTGCCAACTAACTATAGAGAGTTGCAATCAGCATTATGTTTGCTTGAGCTGCAACACCAGTAGATGCTTGACACTCTACCCTCATTCTTTATTAGTACATACAGTTCTGAAGCTGTAGCTCTCTTTAAAATCAGATTTAAATATTTTGCTAGGGGCATCAAGAAATGGAGGCAAATTCCATGTTTCTAAGCTATGACAGGTGAGAAAATCAAGTTAAGGAAGATGTGCCTGAGACAGATTCAATTTTCACCCTAAATTAAAGACAACCAAGACAGGGTAGAACTGAAGAGCTAAATGAATTTACCTTGAACTTTTTACCACCCATTGTCTCCATGTCTGCTTCCTTGCCAACTGTGAATATGTTGGTTGTGGTGCGGCCTCCTGGGAAATGCTGTGTCCAGGTGAAGTCATTTCCATTTTGCACCACCTCGGTGACTATTTTGCAATTCCTTCCCATTTCAGCTTTGTCACTGGGGAGACCTTAATCAATAGAAACATACAGTTTATCAAATCTAATAGTTTACCAGCTGTATTTGAATTGCATGCTAATGGTATGTTTGTCCTCAGCAATATCAAAGCTCTGAGTTTAAATGACTGGTATAAAGGAAACTATAGGTACCCAGCAGTGCATTTGCTAAAGTAAGTTTTAGTCTTACATCCTTTTCCCTGAGAAGTGATACACAGAATACATGTATAGATACAACATATGTGCAAATAACCCCTTCTATTAACATCCCATGCAGATGAGTGCAATTCATGTATGAACTTTTATGTGCCTTTGCTATGTAGCTGCACATACCTATTCACTATGTGCTAGTGCTATTTAAATTAATAAACACAAGCACTGAATTTATGTGTTCAGATCATAGCGTCCATAGAAGCTTTTATGGGGTAATCTCTGAAACAGATTTGCACAGTCTTCTGAAAGCATTCACAGAAACCTCTTACTGTGTAAGATTTTGACAAGTGTTTTCATGCTAAATTTATACTCCTACTCATGAATGGGACAGAAAAAGTGACCTTCACAATCATACTGCAAACAACTTGCCCCTTCATTCTACTACCACTGAAAGGAAGTACTAATTCTGTAAAACAGGACTATTTTCTGCAGCTAGCAGTGCTTAAGTGCTATAAGAATGAAAACTGAATCTCCTTGCTGAAGTGTAGAGCACTTCTACCACTTTTAGCCCCTGTGAATCTCAGCACATTTCAGTTAAAAGCACTTCAAAAAAGAAAAAAAAAAACCAGAAGGGTTTTTAACTAATTTATAACCTTTAAGTCTTACACCCACAACATACTCACCAATCTTCGTCACAAAGTCGTCATAGTTCTCATCGCCTTCAAACTCGTATTTGCCAGTAAATGCCATGTTGCCCTGGTGATGTGGCTTGTAGAGCAGAGTAGCAGCTGGAACAAAGAATGGAGATGTGCAGATGGCTTGAGACCCTGGTTTTTATAAACCAGCCCAAGCTGTTCAGCCCACCTATATCCACACCCCTTGGAAATATACTTTTATGATGTGTGTGAGTCACTAGCATGGATGCCATTGACCTGTATGAAAATCAAGGTTATAATTCAATTATACATCCTTGGAAATAATGTGGAGATCAGCAGAAATCAGGGACAGAAGCTGAGTTTCCATTTTAGTGCATATTTAAACAAAGTGATACATTTTTTCTTTCAAGATTCCACTGATTTTTGCATTCAGGATAAAATAATTGTCAAGTATATTAAACAGGGAGAAAATGGCTTCAAAGCAGTGTCCTGAGATCACATCCTTGCTCTATTTGGAAGCATATGCTATATTAGTTAAAATATGAAAATATGAAACAAGCTGTATAGATTCCTAAGTAATTCTGGCAGGATATGGGCAGTGACAGGGTTCGGGGTAAATTACTGCACTTGCACATGTCTTAACCTTATCTCCATACAGAATAAAAAAAAGAAGTATAAAATATTTTACACTGCTCAGATGTAAAGTACATTACATACATCCATGGCATGATGTTCCCATACCTTATTTAATATCAAGAGACAAACAGTCTTGTGTATTGCTGAGGAAGTGTTTGCACAAAGTATAAAAACTATATTTTGGAGCAGCAGAGTTCTGATTTATGCAAGAGAGTCATATGTTAAAAGTCAAGAAGTCTGCCGGGTAATTTAGAATGCATACAGGAGGTGTCCTATGCCTATCAAATCGACTGTCACACGCAGTTAGCAGGGTAGGAAATTCCCAGCTGCTGTGGATTGGCATAGCTCTACTCACTGGCTAAGGATACAGTTTTTAATCTGAGGAAAAGTATTCCTAAGATTTATGTGAGAATGGCACCATAGATTGGAATTTTATTTTATTTAATTAGTGAATTTAGGGAGGAACAGAAAATCAAAAAAGAAACTCCCATTTTCCCATTTTGTGAAGATCTGGAGTAATACATAACACAATTTCAACAAGAGTTGCTATGTGCAAAGTGGGTTCCATTTCTTAAATGCAATTAATTTAATCCCACATGCTAATATAAGAACATGTCTATTTAGAATCAAGAAACTGTTCAGAAGAACAGGAACATAGACAATTAAAAGCATGGAAAACAAAGGTCCACTAAACTTCACCACTGCTCTGTTTGGTGTACTTTCACATTAATGTATTCTATCTAACCATTTCTGAATTTCTGGTTAATACTTACCCACACTGCACTCTATCAGAGAATGAGACAAGATTCAGTCATGGAATGAGACTTCAGTAAAATGTCAAATATCATAAATCATGGTATATTGTGGTTAAACTCTACAAAGTAGAAACACTGCTACATCTAATAGTTTTATGATCAATAACGCTGTCTTTGAGTTCACACAGTCAGTTGTACACATCCTCAGCTCTAAATCCTGCACGTTGGAGGGTGTAGTGTAGTTTGCAAGCTCTTGTACTGAACTGAGAAAGAATGGTGCCTCTCAGTGAATGCTGCCTCCTACAAATCTTCTCTTTTATGGTCACATACTTGCTGTCTCTTGATGCAGCCTTACAGATTTGGGACTGGATATAGATTATGTCATACCAGCATTAAATTCTAGAGGAACTAGAATTTATATACTGCCTATATCCAAATATTTTGTCACAGCATACTACAATAAGCCCTTAAATTAGTAAGTGTTGGGGGTTAAGGGTTCACTAAACTTAAATATATTTGCTATGTACTCATATATTTAATGGTAAATCACATGTCAGGGTATGCTGCAACTCAATGGAAAGAATCCTCTCTAATTTGTATTATTTTTTCAATTTTACTTACTAAGCTTCTTTCCTCTGTACAAAGCCTCTGCTGGTCCTAAGTTGTACAGCCTTTAAACCAATGACAGGATACACAGGGCATGTGAGTTTTGAATAGGAAAACATTCCCTGCCTTAGGAAAATTTCTGCAGTTTCAACACTTTTCCTTAGAGGGGAAAAACAAGATGGATTCAGAATAACACAGTGACTGATGGGTGAAAAGTCTCAATCGGGTAAGAAGGGGACTTCTAATGGAAAAAAATGTTCTGACCAGAAAAAGCTTCAGAAAACTCTGAGTCAAGTCTTATGAGAGATTACACCTGTGCATAGAAAAGAGCTTACCTCATGCTCATGGCTTGGGAATTTATGTTATTTCTGGGTTGGTCTTTTACCTACTTCCTTTTCTGAAGTCTGAGAGAAAGTAACTTGAAAATTTTACATTTCACATGAAAGAAAACATAAAACTTTCAAATGGAGATGCTTTTTTTGAAGTTTTTCAAAACTTTTTAAAACATTTGTTTGGGATATGTTCCTGGCAGGAAAAGAGTTTTCTAGAGCAGATGCAAAAAGTGAATACGAGTGAAGCAGAACAGGATCATGGTCAATTTGTAAAATCAAAATGGAACAAATGTCCTAGGAATTACTGCCTTCCCACCCCTAACCCTTCACTCTCCCCATATTTACTCAGCTTTAAATTGTACCATGCTGTGCTGTGGCTGACTATATTGTGATAGAGCTCATGACGCCACAAAAGCCATACCATCTGCTGTCTGCATGCAGTTAAAAGGATGTGTCCATACCTGAAATAGAAGAGAGCCATATACCTTCCCTCTGTGAACATTCTCTGTGCCCTATGATTAGCATTCAAAACACAGGAGTGTGGGAGAAAAGTAAGGAACTGGGGGGCTCTGTATCTATTACAAATAAATGAGATTCAGGGAAGGAAAAGAGAAACTTGTTTTACCACCAGTGTTTCCTTTGTATTTTTGATGTCTGTAAAATGATTGTGACTATCCCGCAACCATATTTGACACTTAGGTTTTTTAATTACAACTCTTTCAGCTTAATCCCCAAATTGCTGAACTTAATAACCAATTGTGCAGGAGCAGACAACTGAAAACGAAACTTTATCAGCTGGACCCAGATGCTTAGGCCCTATCTATATAAAGAAAAACAGCATTAGCATGGAAAACAAGCACATACACAGAAGCCTCAGTTCTCACTGCTATGGTAAAGCTAAGTAAAAATGGCAGTTAAGCTACAGCAGTGTGAACTATATACCTTTAATAGAGGCAAACCCCTAGTAATTTCAGTCATATACAGATTTGAAAATACCATTTAGAGGAAAGTATCATTAAGCTTATTTCATACATGGGAAAGCTGAAACACTGAGAGAAAGTGACTTATGAGAGCTTATGGTATAGTGGATGATGCAGGCAGTAAGAAATCTTAAGTCCAGGCACTAACCTAATGTCCACAGTATAGCACATTACTTTAAACATTCTCATAATAAACAAGCCTTCAGAAGCCAACAACAAGAGCTGTGAAACACCATTTACTTTTAAACAGTTTCTCACTGATGGGATGTGAGAATCCTTACAGCTGTTTAGCACAACTGGCTGAGCAAGCAAGCCCCTAGTTAAAATTCTTATCATCTCCATGTGGCTCAGTGTATACCGAAAGATAACCAGGCAATTGTCCAGTCCCAGCTGTGGTTTGGAGAGTGGGTGACTGCTGGGTCTGTCCTCAGGTTAGCTGAGCACTGAAGGCTTGCCTTGCATTGGGCTCCTTGCTGTTCCAGAAAGACATGCACAACCCTGTGAAGAAGGTAAATGAACTCAAGCCATAAACTCTTCTGTTTACATAAAACATACTGGGAAACAATACCACTGGCATAGTAACACCACATGGACCTTGGAGGATAGATCGAACTGGATAAGAAAAATGCCACAGCGCTGTGGAGCAGGAAAAATATAATCAGACTATATGAACAGTACTTGAGCTTTTATGTTCTCTCTGTCTGTCTCTCAAGATCAAATTACATTGATAGCTTCCACAATGTGGTATAAAAATGCTGACATCTACACAGCTATAAAATACTTAAGAGCTTGCCTGCAGTGGGAATGTTGTGGCATAGAGCCAGTGTGTAGTATAGTAAGTTACCAATGAGTAACTGTTTGACTGGGTGGGTCATTCTTGACACACATAAAGTATGAGTTTATTCACCTCCAAGGAGTTGCACACTAACAGTGTACATGAGATTTCCAGAGCAGGTTACCAGCATCCATCCAAACAGCTACACAGTGTTAATAAATGCACTTGCTCTGCCTGGCTGCTCAGGATCAGAATCAGGATAGAGTAAGTTCTGAGCAAACATGCAGTCACCTATACCTGTTTGTGCAGAGGAGTCTTTGATGTGCATTGTGAATTTCCACCTGTGTTTCTGCTCACTTATTCCAAAACAAATCTTTATTTTCATTCCTGCCTTTTTTTGTTATAAAAATGTAGCAAAATTCAATAATGTATTGGAGAATGAAGAATTTCACAAAGTAGCCTTCCAAACACTGAGTCAGAACAATGTATATTCCAAGAATAAAGGAAAAAGAGGCCCTCTGAATTTACTGCAGTTACAGTCACTTGTACACTTGTACACTTAGTTTTCCAGGTCCCTATCTCTTAAGTTTAAGCTAAACCCAGTATTCATTTAATGACTTTACGCTTTGCATTTACAGTTATTATTTTCCTGCCTCTTCAGAGCTGTCAGCATGTGATGTTGTTTTTGCATACCCCTACAACAGTGCTTCATCCTCAGTTTGCTGATCACTGAAATAAATGATGCAGAGAACTCCGGAGTTATCCAGTAAATATAAAATAAAATAAAAATCCGTGTCTATTTATACGTGTATTTTAAATAGAAGTATTTAATCCATTTTAACTGCTACAATGTAGTTGAATGGATTAAATTTCTCCTCTCTTACAAGGAAAGATTGTGGGAACTAGGCCTGTTTAGAGAAGACTGAGAGGGAATCTCCTTAATGCATATCAATATCTAAAAGGTGGATGCCAGGAGGATGGTGCCAACTCTTTTCAGTGGTGCACAGTGACAGGATGAGGAGCAATGGCCATAAACTAACGCACAGTAAGTTTCACCTCAACATAAGGAATAACTTCTTTATGTTGAGGGTGGCAAAGCACTGGAACAGGCTGCCCAGGAAAGTTGTAGTCTCCGTCTCCAGAGACATTCAAAACCCACCTGGACACGTTCCCATGTAACCAGTTCTTTGTGGCCTTGCCTTGGCAGTGGGTTGGACCAGATGATGTCCAGAGGTCCCTTCCAGCCCTAGCAATTCTGTGAGTCTGTGAATGTAGAGTCTGCACACTGCTGCAAACAACCTTGGCTATATCATTTTTGTGCTTAACAGAACTCAGTTCAAATCCAATTGAATTAACAGCTATAACTGAGACTAGTGATAAAAATAAAAGATATTTCCCTGGCACAAGGTGAGAATTATAACAGAGAAAGGCAAAAGAATAAAAAGCTTCAGGTGCAAAAGCTGACAACAGCTTTCAGAAAGTGCCATTACCTTCAGCGTACTTGGCACTGTCTTACCATTTTCAACGGAGAAAGATTCAGCTGTTCTTTATGTAGGTCACATCAAATACTGTTGTTCCATAGGAGACTGTGTGCCATCTGGTGGCCAACGCTCAAGGCCCGAATGGCAGGGAGTGTGTCCTGCTCAGCCCTCTCCTCACCCATGTAAACCCCTGACTTCAGTTAGAACATACCAAGATCTGCAGTAGCCCCGTGCAACAGCTGAATCTCAAAGAAGGCTCGCTGATCTCATTCTGGTTATAATCAGCTCATTAAGAATCATGTTAAATGTATTATTTATACTTATATAATATATAAAAATATATCAGTTATTTATACAAGCAATTATCTTCATATATTTCATCTTGGAATATAGCTCTAAATGAAGATGACTTCTTAAGCATTGGTTTATGGCAGCACTGACATATCATATAGCATTAGCCTTTGCTTAAATACAAACCCATTTGTATTGTTATCTTGCCAGTCAACAAGACACAGGACTGCACTTCACACAGGTTTAATGCAACATTTTAGGTCAGGGGCCAAACACTGGCTTCCCTGGATTCAGGGGGAATCATCTACAGTTGAACCAAAACTTCAACTCAATTGACTTTATGTGCAAATGCTTTTTGCAGGAGGCTGGCATTTGTAAAACCCACTAGAGTGGGTTCAGGTGACAAACAAACACAAATAAGAATGTGCATGTTGAGAGGAACAGCACCGCTTGCAGACAGAATGGAAGGGTTACAACCTTACTCTGAGGTCTAAGATGCACAGACACCTTAGACCTCTGATTTTGTCTCACCGAGCAGGAAACCGCCCCCAAACAACCCAAACCCATGCATTCATAGTTGTGCTTACCTAACTTTGTAACTTGAGTCACTCTCCTAACACCAACTCATAATAAATCTCATCTTTGAATGTATGGACTATGGTTATGATGGGAAGTTATGCAGAAAAGCTCAACACTGAATTTATCAGGATGACACGAGTTACAACTGTGTGGCTATTGTAGACAGCATAAATAAGCTGTCAAAGACCTAGAACTCTTGTGGAAGCTTATACCCAAAGGAAAAGTTCATCAAAAGTGAGCAGTTAATCCCTTCTGTCTCCCAAGCCAGCTACCTCTGATATGCAAAACAGCTGAGTCTTCAAATACTGGTAGGAACAGAGGGAACTTTCAGGAACCAAATCAAAGGCCTTGGACACCATTACTTTGAGAATTTACTTGCTACAAAGTCATAAATACAACACTTTTGCATTCTTTTTGTCATGTCAGAGTCACCCTGCCCTTGAATGTCTTCCAACATGCTTTAAAGTTTATTAACCTTTCAGATGTGTTGTATAAAGCCAGCTGAGACACACTCAAAGACAAAATGGAGATAAGGAAAGTAATTCCATTAGTGAATGAACTAGGCTGAGTAACTATCTTTGAAGTGCTTTTAGAAGTGGAATGCAATTGAACAAGGAGTACAGATTCAAAATAAAAGTAGGAACTCTCCAGTGAAAAGAAAGTTGCACTTAATGATTCTTTCAGAACGAAACCTGATCAGGAAAGCTTGTAAATTCTTAAAACAGCTGTATCTGGCAATTATTCAGCAATCCTCCACAGTAAATGGCTAATGATTATTAATTCCTTTGGTATTCCGAGTAATCATTCATAATGAATTTAGAATGAACTCATTTGGTGTTAATGTAATGTGTAATTCCATGGGAGTCCCATTACAGTGTTGCCTTATTAAGTATCCATTTAGTACAGGACTAGGTGTTACTCTTCTAAATCCATAAGCAGCAGAAAAGTAGTTACAAGCAAGATGTGGCTGAAGTTTTGAAAAGCGATTGCTTGCGTATAAAATCTTTAACAGAGATGCTCCAGCCAGCTCTACAGGACTCCTACAGGTGACACAGTACTGACTCTCTCCTTGCCCCAGAGGTGG